TCCACACTTTAAAGGACTTTGAATCCTACTTCAAATGTTCTGCGTGTACTCTCTGCTGCCTTCTGCCTGGCAACTGACCTCACTGCCATGACAGGTGTTCCCAATATTAATGACAATGGCTTCCTTTGCACTCAATTTTGGCAAAATAGTCTACCTCTCCATGAAGGAGAAGTTTAATAGATTAAAAACCAACGAAAGAGTAAAAGTATCACTCGAATCAGTAAACATGGAGCATAGAGAAAGATAAAGAAGAGAATTATGTGGCATAAATGAGTAACAAGATATTTGAGAGAACCTAACTATTAATAAAGAAGAAATTCCATTTTCATCAAGAAAAATTAATTTATTCTTTTTTTTTTTTTTCTTTTTTGGTACCAGGGATTGAACTCCGGTCCTTGCACTTGCAAGGCAGGCCACCGAACCACTGAGCTAAATCCCTGGCCCAATTAACTTATTCCTACTTTTAAAATCTAAGGTATGTTAGCTATGTATCATTTTAGGGCAACTTGACAATATGATTGGCTGTCTCATTAGTTTGGAAAGCCAGGCAGCAATGATCAATTTTGGCCATTACTTTTGCCAGCTTTCATGAAAAATCAAGAATTTAAATTTAGTTCATAATTTATAAAGACTGTTAGACAAGGAGCAAGAATGATATGCTCTAGATTTGACCAGCTATAAGGCATAAATTCTTCAGAATAAAAATTAATGTATTTTAACCATATAAAAGTATTATCAGTCATATCTGGAATTTTTTTCAAAACTACATAGTGTACAAATCAAGTCTTGTTTTATTAGTATTGTCTTCTGTTGATTGAACCAGAAATGCTGTAAGTAGGCCTCTTCTGGAAGAAATTATACCCTGTACACAAGCTTTCTAGGTTTTCTACCTTTCCTTTTACTAAAATGAAGGGCCTGTGGACCTTGTCTCAGGGATAAACAAGTGCAGTAGATAAACAAGAGAGAAATATATTCCAAGTGAATGCCTTAAAGTGTGGTGAGTCCCAAACCATATACATATACTATGTCTTTCTCCACTGTACATGCATATTTATCATAAAGTTTATATGTAGGCACAGTAAGACATTAACAAAATAATAATAAAATATATTGTGATAGTCATGCTTTGAGGTCATTATTAAGTAAAATAAAGGTTAATTGGTGCTAGCACTGTAATGTTACAATAGTCCATCCAAGTGACTCACAGGCAGACAGTAGCATATACAGCATGGATACGCTGGGCAAAGGGATGATTTACATTTGAGTTGGAAGAAAAAGCAGCAGCATAGCTTGAGATTTCAAATTACTGCTCAGAATGACACACAATTTAAAACTTGCTTAATTCTAAAATTTTTCATTTAATACTTTTAGAATTTGGCTCTCTATAGGTAACTGAAATCATGGAAAAGAAAGAAATCAAGGAGTGATAAAGGGGAACTTCTACATGTGAAAGGAGGATCAAGATTTTTCTCAGGAGTACGTTAGGGATAGTTAAAATATTTCATAACTATTCAAAAATTCTAAAATGTAAAATGAATGGGCAGATTACTGTGGACGATCTAATACATCGTCACTTTTTAGCATTAAAGTGACCTCCTAATATGGTTATTCTGAAGTTTTAAATTTGACTGAATCTTTGTTGGTCAGATTATAGACCTGGCACTCTACTGACTGTTACATTCAGTATCAGATGTCTTGGCCCTTAAACTCTACAGTTACCTTTAAAACTGTGCTACTTTAGGTCAGTCATTTTGGCACTAAAATAAATGTGTTAACTGCACAATATCACAAGCATTGAAGTAACAAAACAAGATTTTAAATTAACATTACGCAATGAGTCCAACATACAATAAGTCTGAGGAACGCTCTCTCTTCCTTCTGCTCTGTTCCTTCCTTTGTACCAAGCTTCTATTTAGTTCTAGACCTGATTCTAATTTGGAAGCAAAGGAGCCTGTTGTACCCATTTTTCTATCAGGCTTACACTACATTTGAGAATTTTTTTTTTTAATTCCTCAGAAATCTTTCAACTGAAGTGTTGAGAAAAACGTAACATGTAGTGAAAGCTTTCAAAATTTTATTGTGGCAATGACATATTCTTAACATAATTCTGGATGTTTTTCTGTTTCACTCCAACATCACGATTGACTACACGTGTCTCTTTTATTTATTGACTTACCTCCTATCCACTCAGTGAATACTTTCTAGGACTTGGTCAAACACTACTTTTCTCAATAGGTCAATTGTTAGGATTGAAGATTGTAAAATTTGAGACAAATTATCTGTTATAGTTTTTAAAAATTTCCAGAAATTGCTAGCTTGCCTTGACTGTTCAGGATGGCTAGCTTCTGTTAACTGCCTAAAACATATCTTCATTTGTTCATTATCTTGAGGAACCATAATTCAGAGGTTCTGCTATTCAGGCTTCTTCAAAAGTTTATTCCTCAGAATTACCCCAGAAGTGAAATTCCTATAATTAATTTTTTGATGACGTGAGTTAAGAATTAGCTTCAGGCCAAGATCAACTAATACAGAAATATGCCTGAAAGGAAAACAGTGCTCAGACAGATAAATATATAGATTTTCATTAATCATTCAGCAAAAGACAGTAGAGTCATTACTTAGATGCTACACGTGAATTACTACAAAGCTGGGTTGTCTAAGGACAACCTAGATATTTAATTTTAGTTTAGTATTACTCTGATCCAGATAAACAAGCATATGTTACATTATAGAAATTTAATGCCACTTATATTCAGGTTCAAATATAAGTAGGAGTGTTTACCAATTGGGAATGGTTTCTAAATGGAGTAATTTCTTTCTATTTCTTCTTCCTGTGATCTCTCAGTAACAATGGAGTAGGGAAAGAATATGACAAACACTTTCTTTAGCTTTGTCTGAATGAAGACAAACAGGGGAACCCTCTACTTGGGTTTGCAAAATAAGTTCTATAGTTTGAGTATTGAAAGTTTCGAAAAGGCCCATGCCTTAAAAGCTTGTTCTTAGGAGAGAGATTATAGCAAAACGTTGAAACAATTAAGAAGTGGGGCCTAATGGAAAGTTTTAAGTTTTTGAGGATATACTCTTAAGTGAAATAAATAAGTCGCACATGTTTAAATACTGAATACTTTCTCTGGTGTGAAAAACTATAATAGTACACAAGATCCTAAAGGGATAATTAACAATGTGAAATAGGAAGAAAGGGGCTAAAGGTGTAAGGAAAGTGGGAAGGGTAGGGGAAAGGGAATAAGGGAAAAGAAAAAAATATGAGAAAATAAAAAAATGGAAATAAAGTGTTTGTAAATGGGGAGCGGAGGAGGGGGTGAAGGGAGGGCAGGGATAAGGGGAAAACCTGAGAATCAAGACCTGTCATGTAAAGGTACAAGATCCCAGTAATGAATGCAACTGTATTGTATATCTAGAATGTACCAATAAACTCAATAAAAAGAAGAAAAAAAGAAAGAAAGTCTTAAGTGTCTTTAAGAAAGTCTTTAAGGTGTCTCTCCCTTCCTGGACACAATGAGGAAAATGGGATTTCTGTGCTATGTGCTCCTGCCATGAGGTACTGTGCTTCCACGGGTCCTAACAAATGTGGTTAATTTTCCATGGACTAAAACCTCTGAAACCATAAGCCAAAATAAACCCTCCCTCTAAGGTGATTATCTCAAGTGTTTAGCAAATGCGGTAGAGTCATACCAAACTTGCACTTAATCTGTCAATATTTTTATGGCATGGGGATAATTTTTAAATTTAAAAATAATAATAATGAAGATTATGATGACAATAATGCAATGCAATATCCCACTCAATAAGTGAGTATCACACAAGAGAAGCTATCTGCCTGAAAAAAATGTAGGTTTTGACAGTTATGGGAAAAATAATTGAAGGCTTTCCAGTTAGTTAAAAAAATTAAAATATATTGCTAGGCATCCAAGCGTGTGGATGATGATGTCCTTAATTATCTCTTCAATGAAAAACAAAATTAATTAGAGAAGTGTGTTAATAAAATTTAAATTATAAATAATATATACAGTATTATTGTAAGTGCTACATCATATACATAACCATACGTCTTATATCTAACATACTAATCTTAAATTTAGTTTTTACTATGTACAATATTTACCTCTTTTATCATCTTTTAAACAAGAAAGACGTTATGAACCAACTGAATACTCACTGGGAGAGACATAGGCACAGGTCACCAAGTCCATTGAACAGCTGCGTTCAATGTGGAAACTACACCTCAGTGATTCAGTACGGAACATTTCCTGGCAGAGAGTCTCTATGTCTCTAATTTTTACATTCTAATAGAAAGTTTTCACTGAAGAGAGTGACAGCAACAGGTTTACGGCATACAGTACAAATTGTACAGCAATTTTATGCTCCTAACTTTTTCATAAGAAAATGTCAAAGCTAGGAGACATGTGTGTGTCTGATGGAAGCACCGCGCTAAAGTGGTCTTCCAGGTGCAGTGAAATGGGGCTGACACTGCAACAGATAGAGGGGAGTAACTGTTCATCGTAAGTCTCACAAAGCCATGAAATTGAGGCATGTGAGCAGTTGTTTTCATAGTACTGAAGTCTACACATTGCCTGGTCCTCTGGAATCCAATAATTCACAAATCCAATGTGGGTACTTCCTGGATCTTTGTTACAAAGGATGCAAGGGTACATCTCAGAACTCCCTGTTCTTACCACAGATGGAATCATCACATTTTAGATATACAACATGAATCTGAACCAAGCCCCACACTCCTGGTGCTGCAAGAAGTTTATAGTTGACAATAACAAAAGATAAATACAAAAGTTGATTTGGAACATTGAAGTCTCATCCTTGTCTAGGCAAGCTGGGCCTTTGGAAAGGTGTGATTTTCTTATTTTTCAAAATAGGTGATTTTTAGATGATTTACGCTTAAAGTCTAACTACTGAGATCAACTCAATAAAATTCAGGTTAAATACTTTTTTTTTTCATAGTTCAAAAGAGCACAAAGATACATAACCTTAAATTTTCTTCTCACTTCTGTTATTTTAAGTTCCAATTCATCTGTTTTATGTTTGGTTACGTGGAAAATAGCACCAATTTGATAAGCCTCCTTGTAGAGGTGTTTGAGATAATCATTATTCTTTGACTTCAGTCTCAGTAAAGATTGAATTTCAGATTCATACATCACTTTTCTTTTTATACTACAAAATAAAGCAAAAAAGGTGAATATATGATTATGTTAAAAGAATACAGAGTCCAATATATTTAATAATAATAAAAAGGAACAAGATTATATTTCACATTGCCAAAACCACAAAATGAGATAGGTAATTAAAATTCAAATACAGAAAATGTGTCCCAAGACTTTATGTTTTCTACATCTCTTATAGATTACCTCTAATTATCAGGGTGCGCCCAATCTCAGAAGGATATGAATATTGGAGGTCTCAAAGCTTAGCTTTCAAAAGCTCCTAGTGCCATCAAAAAAATCTGGAGATGTATTTTGAGGTCTAGCCTGCATCTGGTAAATTATATCCTGAAAGTAAAATCTTCTATAATCCATGAAGATATTTCTATTGAAAGATACTTTAAATGGAAGTGTCAAAATTAAAACAAAAGCATGCACTAGACTAAGGTTTCCCAACCTCGGTAGAATATAGTACTTGGGGCAAAAAATTCTTTGTTCCAGTGGAAAGGGTATACTGTATATTATAAGATGTTTAGTAACATCCCCGCACTAGATGCTGTGGCTCTGTCTCAGTAGGGACAACCAAAAATGTCTCCAGGCTTTGCAAGTATCTTGTGGTGAGCGTACAAAATCATCCCAATTGAGAATCACTTGACTAGAAGAAAGGTCTTCAAACCTAGATGTTCATTATAGTCAACTGCAAAGCATATGATAAGTCTTTCTACCTCCAAAAATTCTGATATAACTGACCCAGGGTAATGCTCTAGCTTCAACATTTTCAAGCCCCCCCAGGTAGTTCTAATATGCAGCCAAGAATTGAGGTATTCATATTAACGAGAGAAATATTTCCCAAGTTGAGTATGTGCGAGAGTCACATGGAGAGTGTGTTAAGGCACAGATGCTCAACTTTCACAGTGTGATTCAGTAGTTGTGAGACAGACCTGAGAATATAAACCAGGTGATGTAGAAGACCCCACTTTGTTCGATTCACATTGCCCAGGAGGTTATCATCAGGATGAATATGGGTGTTTAAAGGAACACAGAGGAGATTGAATTGATATTAGCTGATGGGTAATACCCTCTTTATCCCCCACAATAGACTTAGTTGAAAAATAATTAGTCTTGCAAACTAGAGATCAAAAATGCCAGCCTCAATCAGCCTATCCCTGCCTTACAAGTCATCACTATTCTCTTGCTCAGTGGAACCACTATAGATAGGTAAGACAAGGACTGGATGACTGGTGCTGGCATTTTTATTTGTTTATTTATTTATTTTGTTTTTTTGAGACAGGGTCTCACAATGTAGTTGAGACTGACCTGGAACTCACTACGTAGCCCAGGCTGGTCTCGTACTCACAGTGATCCTCCTGCCTCAGCCCCCCAAGTGCTGGGATTACAGACGGGTGCCACCACGCCCGGCTTGGTGTTATTAATCTCTAGTTTTCAACCCTGATTGTTTTCCTGCTAGTTCTTATTTTCATGGAAACATGGTAGCAAGGAGTAAATATAACTGATGTTGAACTGCATCGATCTTTCATTCTTACCTAGCCCAAAGAAGGATATAATACACGATGATGACGTACAAACAAGAACAAACATACATCAAAGCATGCCCGAGACACAACAGACCTCAAGAATAAGGTAACCATCTCTGTAGAAAGGAAATGGGGCTAAAAAATCAAAGCAGGAGTCTGAGAGAGACATCAGAAAGCTGGTTGAATTATGATCTCAGATGAATGAACAGGCAAGATCCACAGATTCATAGCAAGGCTCTCCATGAGGCATGTGGGTCATAAAAAGAGCAATACACCTGCTTGGGCCATACACAGAAAGCTATGAGTGAGGACATTAAGATGAAAAGATCTTGAGGCCAGAAACTGTACTTAAAGAAAGACTACACACAAGACCAAAAAGAGAGCAGTGAGGGCGGAACATCAGAAAACAAAAAACTAACAGCTAAAGATATGATGATAAACTAGCTGTTCTTGAGGCCAGAAACTGTACTTAAAGAAAGACTACACACAAGACCAAAAAGAGAGCAGTGAGGACGGAACATCAGAAAACAAAAAAATTAACAGCTAAAGATATGATGATAAACTAGCTAAATAGTAAATACAAGAGTGAGAAAAGTCACACAGAGAAAACAGATATAAAGTGATGCAATAGATGCCAGAGAAAACGATTTTCTTCAAAGATAAGTGCCAAATTCAAGTTCCATTCATTGTTAAATTTTATTCAAAATTGATGGGCACAATCAGATTTTAAAAATTTACCACAATGCTCTCATTCAAATAACTATCAAAGAATTACTTCACATGTATGTAAAGCAAACCAAAAGGCTAAGTAAAAAGGCACAATTAAAAAATAATTAAGAAAGATCAACAAATATATGAACAAATATATAAGTATTGACTGTGAAAATTATTACATAAAAGGGAAGCTAAGTCATTAGGCAGTTGTAGAAAGATGGGATAAGTATAAAGATGATCAATAGCTAATTAAACTTTGCCAAAATATGAATAATAGAGGACATTAGAAAACTGAATAGCTCAAGACTTTATTAGAAATTTTGATAAGAATTTAATCATATTTTAAAATAAAAGATGTAACATGAAGTTTATGACAAATCTAATGTATCTCTTGAGGATATACCAATTAAAATCATCAGCTTATATTTTAAAAACAATATTCCATGCTGCCTACAATGTAAGACTTAAGACCAAACCATCAGGAGGGTTTGAAAATAGACATTTAGTGCAGCAATATTAATGTCATCAAATATAATTTGATACAAAAATTATAAGAAAAGGAAAGTAGTAAAAGAAAGAATCCAATAAGAAATGAAATAATTATTTACTTCCATGCCTCTGATCATATGTTCTCCAGATATGTAAAGAAAAAACCCCAATTAAAGGAAACAATGGACCAATCAAACCTTGAATTTCTACCCGAACACCATAGGACAGGAAATAGGCTAGAGAGGAAGTTTAGATAGCAAAATTACAGCTGAAATTCCCAGTTCTGAAAATCAACATGGATCACAAAATTTAAAGGTATTACTTAGTATTAGGCTGGATAAATCACACACATGCGCGCATGCACATACACACACACACAGAGGTAGGCATGGAATATTAAACCCTCAGAACTCTTAAAAAAATTCTAACATTCCCGGGGTGTGTGTTGGGGGGCAGATTATCTGCAAAACAATTATATCCAGAATACCATCAGATGTCTTACCCACCAAAACTAAGTGTAAAAACAAATCTTGACATTTATGAAAAAAATTGACCTTGGATCTAGATTATGATACTTTGAGAAAAGCTTGGTTAAAATGGATTGAGTAGAGAAAGGAAACAGGAGTGTTTATTTTGGTAGAATTTGCTATAAAGAATAGAAGAACATAAGTAGGATGTAGGAATAAGTTTTATTTTTTATTTATTTTGCACCAGAGCAATATGCTATGTTCAAATGCTATTAAGGAAAAATAATGATTCATGGGGAAAAATATAGCTATCACATGAAATTGACTGGTAAGAGAAAAAAGTAATCCTTATTTTATCTCATCTATACTGAATGAGTTACATGGAGAGATGATAGCTAAAATTGAGAGTGGCCTTTTAAATAGATAGTGTCTTGCTAAATTGCTAAATTGCTGAATCAGGACTCAAACTTCTGAAACTCTTGTCTCAGCTGTCTGAGGTGCTGGGATTACAGGCATGCACCATCATATTCAGCTTGATGTAGGCTTACAAATGAAGAGAGAGAAGATATAAAACAGTAATCAGAAGAGCTGAATGTTCTAGAAATTTCTTGACAGTGCTATTACTTGTGATTTGGGGCCCAAAATTAAACTTTTACAGAGAAGCAAATTTATTATGATGCTACTGAAGATTTCTAAGTGTCTCCAGCCCCTTGCAGTCTTCTGAGTGTCCTAGCAGTGTTTTCCCATGCTCATGTATTCTTACATAATCATATATCTGAAAAAGTTTGTAGAAACAATTGAGTAAGAACATTCTGGTGTAATATACTCCGTCAAGTGGCATTGCAGTACCTGTGGGATTTTGTATGATACTCTGACCTTTCATGTAAATTATCTTTCATATACCATAACCTTTAGAGTCAACCACTAATCAACCAATCAGCATCCACCCCGGTGAGACGAACTAGCATTCATGTTTACCTCAGCCACATTCTGCTGCTAGAAATAATTTGCTGATTGTTTAGGTCAGTGATAGAGATTTTTAAGTCATCAAAAGAAATATTTGGATGTTATTTATATAGGATTATTTTTAAATTAATTTTATTGATGCATTTTAGATACACGTAATGATATAGATCATAGGGAATTTATACTCTTACATAATATATCTTGATTCTTCTTTTTTCCCCAGTCTCCTCCCCTTCCACCTCTCTTCCATTCCTTATTTACAAAAGCTTTGTTTCCACTTTTTTCCTTCTATTCTCTTTTTTTTCCATTTCTTTTCATTCCTTTTCCCTTCCTCTTTCCTTATCCCCCTTCCCATTTGAGCATTTTCTTCCTATTTCCCGATATCTATTATACATTTTGGTCCTTATCCTTTCAGTATATAAGGTATGTAATATATATTATGATCAAGTATAATTCAACTTATAAGAAGAGAAAGAGAAACAAGAAGGTGAGATAGACAACTTAGTAAGAAGGATGTGAAAATACAGTAAAGATAATGATAGGTCCACAGAAAGTGCCCAACAAATGTTGGGGTTAGGGTGTTAGTGGAGCGAATAAGCTGGAAAGAGAGGTGTTTTTGATCAAAGTTCAACTCTTACAGTTGAGTTCAGGAAGTGCCTATGTTGGAACTGCCAAGATCTAAAGTAAAACTTTTCTGGGAAGGTGGTGTAAGAACACAGAGTTCAATTTCTTCCAGGAGTTGTGTATGCGGCAAATTCACATTTCCATAGCCTCTGCAGAGGCAGAAGATAGGAAGGTGAGGGTGCTTTATTTTTCTAATATTTTAATTCCTTTTTCTAAAATAAGGAAGCATGTGAATTACTAGTTACTTTTGAATGATGTACATGGCACTTTAATGTGTGATTCTTGCATTTCATCCTTCAACATCAGAAAAAAAAAAGCAAAATAAAAACATTTAAAAGTTTGCTATGAAATGCTGGAAGAAGCATTCTGTTCTTCTGGGAAGTAGCACAAATGCATAGGCCTGGGAGATACAGCTTAAATGGACATTAAAAACAGTACACTGTGGATTCATTCTAAATATTCCAGGCTATTTAACAATTTCAATGATACTCTAATTGAAATCTCTGTAAATCAGTCATCACTCTGTTAAGTCTTGACAAACACATTTCATAAAATATACCAATATATCTTTATGGTATTCAATATATATTTTTTGCTCATTTTCCTTGATTATTCCATCTTTGGATCACTGTAATTAGAATGGCATTGTCTTGCTTGAAGTATAGTTGAGCCTCAGAAGTACTTAATCAGAATAATTTGCAGAGCTTGGAAATAAGAAAATGACTATGAAGGAATTCCTACCACACAGTTAATCTTCAACAAACCTAAATCTAATCAATTTGAAATCATGTTAAACAAGTTCCTTTTTCTCGACTTTAGTTGTTGAAGCCGGTCTGTCAACTATCAAGTAAAATTGTTTGCTCAAGTCAAATATCCCCAATGCAGAAGGTCCATTTCTAATGAATGCTTGATGGTTTGAGAGTCAAAATTATCAAAGGATAGACTGCTGCTACAAGGTGAACAAGTATTTAGTGTCCTCATCTCTATCACCAATGAGTCTGGTGAATATTTATATAGAGTACTAAATTAGTTAACAAGTAATGTTGTCATTTTCAAACTCACTTATATATGAGCGAGGAATCATTTATTGAAGTAATAATTATTTTACCCATGTTAATAATATGACAATCTGGGAATGACATCAGAATGGTGCGATGATGTTTAAATGTATCAATGAAATTAATTTAAAAAGTAAAAGTGGCCAGGTACAACATGAAACTGCAAAGACAGCTGTGGCTATTGAAGGAACCCCGTGGGATGCATGAAGAAGGAATTTCCGTCACTTCACCCCTGTCAAAATCAATGCAGACGTGGAAGGGAACTAATCAGAGGTAGGTTTAGAGAGCAAAGAAAAATAATATGGTGACCAAAATACAGACTGTACATTAAAGATTATACTGGCTAAATGCAGACCACTGTAAGTTCATGTGAGATATGATAGCTTGATCAGATTTCTGGAGGAATAGTAAAGTAACCAGATTAGAAGAATGTTTAGCAGATAGAGCAATCTTTGTTGACCTGTTGAATATGAATTTTGAAATACAAAGAAATGTCAAGAAAAATAAAGTTTCTGAGTCATGAAAGCTAGTTAAATAATCTGGCAGATAATTAAGGGTTGAATGAGATCCTGAGCTTGAATAGATATATTGTATTTAAAACTAAAGTATCTTTGGATGGAAGAAGATTTGTCCAAAGGTAGTAGGATAAATTTGTATTGAAGTCACTAATAAGATCAGGGGTTTTGGTTCTTTCAACTTTTTCTAAAGGGATCTATAGAGATTAAAGAATAACACTGGGAAATTAACTAAACAGAATTTATACTAATTATATCACAAACACCACCATATTATCCTAGGAATGCAAACTGAAGAGCTTCGTTACATTTCACATATTGAGTATGAAGTATAAAAAAGTGATTTATAGAATTACCTTTCACTGATTTGATCTGTTATGGTGATGATTTCATTTGCAAGCCTTTTATTTTCTGCCATTGCTTGAGCATATACTACGGAAATGTCGGAAAAGTCTCTTGAAACATTATAAAGTTCAACATCCCACGTTTTTTCCTTTAAGGAAAGAATCATTTATATATATTTACTGATCAGAAAAGAAAAATAAATAGTAATAAGTTTTTATTACTCAAGTTAATATTTGAGAACAGAGCATGAAGCTCTATTAGAAAGTGAGGAAAGGTCAACTTACAGTGGCATAAAAATCATTAAGTGCTTCCTTATATTGCTGTTCATATTTTTTTTGCTTCCAGCATATTTGATCATAAATCTTCTTCAAATCGTCCAGCTAAAAAAATGCACAGAAAATAAATGAATTGTGGAGACTTCCATCTTTTTATACAGGAAGACATAGATTATATTTCATTTTGTGCAGCTTCCAAAACTTAATAAACGTTAACTGAAGTGGTATAAAATTATACCATAAGCTGGTTCTGCTTATGAAAATTTATGCAAGATTTTGGCAGAATACAGCAAATCCAGCCAGTGTTCAAATGAATAATTAATCACGGTAAAATGGAATGTGTTTTGGCTGTGAAAATTAGAAATTCTTCAATCATAATTCATCCCCACAGTTTAAAGAAGAAAATAACACAAATACCATATCATTTCTCAAAATGAGCACTTAATAAATTCACTATCTAATTTTCATAATTTTTTAACCTAGTAAGGAAAACCTACTTAAATATAAAGAAACAACAAATATTCAAAAAGATTATGAAATGTTGAATTCATGTTTGTTAAACTCAAGAAAACCATAATATCTTTTATCACTATCATATTTAATTGTGTTTTGTGAAGAACTAGTCAGGCACAATTGTATAATAAAAGCAAATGTTGCTATTGTAATATTGACAGTGAGTAGATGGATAGCTTTAACTTCAGATAATATGATTAAATACCCAAGGAAACAGAAGATTCTATTGAAATTACAAAAACTGATTTTAACAAAATGATTCTATAAAAGGATAAAGAAATCAATAGATTTCATCTAAAAGGGTAATAATTTGTCTTTATAATCTAGTAACAGTACTATAAAAGTTGTGTTAAAATATAAAATATTTGGAATATATTTTTTGTAAGATTGAAAAGCCATAAAAGTAAATATGAACTCCCATAAAACACCCACATCAGGATCCACAAGAAAAGAATGGTATGTATTAGAAACTTTTAATGCAATATAACATCAGTATTCTTAAAATTAACATTAAAATATGATAAAATTCTTTTATTAATTTCATAAAATGTTTTATGGAAGAAAAATGAATGAAACCAGTCATAAAGTGAAAATAAAATTAATATTTTAAGCTTGATATTAGACATTAAAACATTCTAATACCATTATATAAAAGAAGTCTTTTATTATTGTAATAAGTAAAGATCATAGGGAAAAATTAGAGGGCAGAAACATATCTAAACCAGTATTTTTTAAAGTGGTATATGAGTTTAGTGACAATTTATTTAACTAATATAGTTATAATAATTTGGAATTTCTATTTCCAAAACATACAAAATGGTCATTACTTCAAACCCATTCCCATTATAACAAAAATGAATTTCAGATGAATATGGACATGAACACAAAATAGTACAAATTATTAAATCAATCAATATGACTTTACTCATATAGTGGCTAAAGGAAAATGTCACCTTGCCAAATAAACCAAAAGATCAAAAGATCTGTTGATGCGTTTGACAACTTGTTTTATAAAAGTATGTGGAAAATGCATCGTAAAAATGAAGGAAAAATGAGACCATGAAAAGTGTGTAATAACAGTTCGATTTTCTTAGAATAAATCTTTGCAAAGGACATAATAAAAATGGCAGAATAAAAAATTCTGAGAACTCTTTTCTTCATCAATGTAATAAGAAAACTGGCCAAAAAGAACAGAAGGAAGGAAGGAAGAAAATGGAAGGAGAAGAGAAGGAGGAAGGGAGAAAAAAAAGAAAAAACTGTAGAACAATATTCTTGATGAATATAGATTAAAAATTTGTAATGGTTTATATTTAGATGTTCTCCTAAAACTTTATGCATTCATATGAGGGGCTTTCTGGAGGTGGCTGGATTTAAAGTGTGTGAATATGGATTAAGGATGTGAGGTAACTAAATTAGTCCACTGATTGGTTTAGCATAATTTTGGGTATGAAAAATGAAAAGCCTCATCTTGGATATAGGTGGCACCAACCAATAGGCTTTTATCTTGAATGGAATAAAAGGGAAAGGGGGGCTTGATGTTGATGCTTCTCTGCTTCCTGTCTGTTGCTTCATGGACAGGTTCTGCTATGTGATGCTCCTCTGGCATACCACTCTGCCGACTATGGACTGAAACCTCTACATATTGTGAGCTAAAATAAACCTTTCCTTCTTTATGTTGTGGGTATTGGGTATTTTGTGACCACAACAAGAAAATGAGCACGATAAAAATTCCTTAACAAATATATGGAAATCCAACTGAACACCACATTGAAA